GCATTTGTAATTAGTTGTATTCCTGATAATAGCCGTATTTTCTGGAGTGAGATAACATTTCAGTGTTGTTTTTAATTTGCATTTCTCCAATGACCAGTGATGCTGAACATTTTTTCATATATTTTTTTGCCATTTGTACTTCTTCTAAGAAATACCTATCTCAAATGCCTTTTTTTTTTGAACCAGGGATCGAACTCATGATCTCGTGCTTGCCAGGCAGGCGCTTAAACCACTGAGCTAAATCCTCAGCCTCTTTTGTTAGATTGATTCTTAAGTATTTCATTTTTTATGCTATTGCTAAGGGTGTTATTTCCCTAATTTATTTCTTAGTGAGTTTGCTATTTGTGAACAGGAATGCTATTGATTTTTGAGTGTTTACTTTGTAGTCAGCTGCTCTAATGAGTCTGATTATTAAATCAAAAAGTCTTTTGGTGGAGTTTTGGGGATCTTCTACGTAGAGTATCATTTCATCTGCAAATGATGATAATTTAACTTTTTCCTTTCCTATCATTATTCCTTTTCTTTCTCTCTCATGTCTAATTGCTCTGGCCAGTCTTTCCAGAGTAGAGAAAGTGGACATCCTTGTCTTGTTCCCAATTTTAGAGTAAAAGCTTTCAGTTTTTGCCAGTTTAGTATGATGTTGGCTGTTGGTTTGTTATAGATGGCTTTTCTCAGATTGAGATAAAGACTATTCCAATTTTCTGTAGGGTTTTTATCATGAACGGGTGTTAGACTTTGTCAAATGCTTTTTCTCCGTCTATTGAGAAGATCATGTGATTTTTGTCCTTTACTCTGTTGATATGGTATATTACATTTATTGATTTGCATACGTTGAGCCATTCCTGAATCCCTGGAATGAATGCTGCTTGGTCATGGTGTATAATCTTGATATTTGCTGCATTCTATGTGCCAGTATTTTATTGAGGATTTTTGTATCTATAATCGTTAGGGAAAATAGCCTGTAGTTTTCTGCTTTTTAATTGGACCCTTCTCTGTTATTTTTTTTTTTTTTTGTCTTTTTCTTTTTTATCAGTACTGGGGATTGAACTCACGACCACACACTTGCAAGGCAGACACTTATGCCACTGAGCTAAATCCCCAGTCCCCCGCTTCTCTGGTTTTGTTATCAGGATAATACTTGCTTCCAGGAATGAATTTGGGAGTGTTGCTTTCCTTTCTATTTCATTCACAAGTTTGAGGAGTAATGGGCCTAGATCCTCTCTAAATTTGTTTCTTTCTTTCCTTTTTTTTTTTTTTTTTTTTTGGTATTGGGGATCGAACTCACAACCTCACACTTGCCAGGAAGACACCTTGTGCTGATGAGCTATATCCCTGGCCCTCCTCTCTAAATTTTTTGTAGAGCTCAGCTGTGTATCCATCAGGACCTAGGCTTTTCTTCATTGGTAGGTTTTCAATTACATCTTTAATTCCATTCACTGACATTGGGTTACTTAGAATTTTTATATCTTTTTGGTTCAGCTTTGGCAGTTCGTATGTATCTAGAAATCTGTCCATTTCATCTGTTTTCTATTTTCTTAGAATAAAGTTTCTTGAGGTAGTTATTGATGACCTTTTGGATTTCTGCAGAATCTGTTATTCATCTTTTTCATTCCTTATTGCATGAGTTTGAGTGTTTTCTTTCCTTTTTTTTTTTTGATAAGTTTGACTAAAGGCTTATAATTTTATTTACTGTTTCAAAGAACCAACTCTTTGACTCATTGATTCTTTGTATTGTTTTCTTAGCCTGATTTGCATTAATTTTTGCTCTTGCTGGGCATGGTGGCACATGCCTATAGTCCCAGCACTTGGGAGGCTAAGACAGGCGGATTGCTGTGAGCTCGGGGCCACGAAGCGAGTTCAAGGCCAGCCTGAACTGCAGTATGACACCCTGTCTCAAAGAGACAAAAAAAAAAAAAAAAAAAAAAAATATATATATATATATATATATATATATAGTTTCTTTCCTTGTATGAGCTTTGGCTTGAGTTGCTCTTTTTTTCTAGAAGTGTGAGAGTCAGTGCTATTTTATTTGAGCTCATTCTGTCTTATTGATATGGGTATTCACTGCTATAAATTTTCCTGTTAGTGCTTCATTGTATCCCATAAGTTCTGGCATGTCTATTGGCATTATCATTTAGTTGTAGACATTGTTTAATTTCTTTAATTTCATCTGGGACCTATTTGTTGTTCAGTAGGATATTATTTAATTTCCATATATTTATGGGGGTTTTTTGCTTTTGGTATTAATTTCCAATTTCACTGTACTACTATCAGTTAATATGCACGGTATAATTTCAAATCCTTTGCATTTATTTACGTGTGTTGTGGGATAGCACATGATCTATTTTGGAGAATATCCCATGTGCAGATGAGAAGAATGTGGACTCTGATTTTGTGGGGTGGAACACTCTGTTGACATCTGTTAAGCCCATTTGTTCGCAGGTTTGGTTCTTCATTGATTTTTTTTGTCTAGTTTGTGACAATAGGGTGTTAAGGTCCCCCATTACAATTGCGTTAGTGCTTATTTGATTTTTCATGTCCATTAATATTTGTTTTATATAATTGGGTGCATATATATATATACATATATATATATATTTATGATTGTTATCTCTTCTTTTTGGAGTTTTCCCTTAATGAGAATGTAGTGATCTTTTTTAAAAAAAATGTTTTTATTTGTCTTTAGCCCATTGGTTTGAAATAGGATATGCTTTTTAATGTTAATATCCTGTTCATGCACTCTTAGATTCTTTTATTTACCCCAAATGGTGTAGATCCCACATTTTTATGGTTAAAATTAAGGAGGGGCCCCAGCCCCTCTGTAATTGGTGGTACACATCATAATTCTAGCACTCAGGAGGCTGAAGTAGGAGAATCAAGGCCATCCTGGGCTACATAGTGACATTTTGTCTCAAAAAACAAAAACAAAACAAACAAAAATTTACCAGAGGCCATTGTTGTGGTCTTAGCTTCTGTTTTGGAGTGTACCAGTCTAGGTTAAAATCAAAATAGAGTAGCTCACATTCAAGTTTTGTGTTACTAAACTGAGATTAAGCTGCTTATCTTATTTTCCCAGACATCAGAATTAGAAATAACAGCCACAAACTGCCAGTTTTAATGAAACAAGTAACCTGAAGTAACCAGTGACAGCCAGTCAGTTATTTTTCCATTGTTCCATTGTTCTGTCTTTCTATCCCTGCCTTATAAAGTAACTTTGAAATGACCGATAAGGTTTTTTTCCTTTCTTTCTAGTAGTATCAGGGATCCAAATCAGTGATTTCCAACTAAGTTATGAATATTTCCATGCTGTGCCAGATGGCAGCTAGAGGGCCAGCGACATGAGCAGTAAAAGAACTGACCAATAAACAAGGAATACAGGAAAGGCAACAGCTTGTTTGGATCACTGAACACACTGTCGAGGGGGGCAGGCAGCAAGTTTTCAAGAGAGGACTCACACAGCCGGACAAGAGGCTGGGGATCTTCATAAAGCAATCAAGACATAGGGAAGGGCCTGATTTAGTAAGTTTAGAGAATTTAGAAACGGCTTTTCCAGAACATGGTGTTCCTTGTTCAATCTTTCAGGAACACCTGTGTTGTAATAAACTTGTCCACCAAAGTTTCAAATTGTCAAGGCCTCTGCTTGTCTGTAGTTAATCTTTTGGGGAAAGATGTAACAGTAGTGCAGTGTTTTATGACAGTCCAGTATGTGTTGAGAAATCTGTTGTCAAGGGAGTTTAGGTGTTGAGAATTTTCACACTTTTGTCACTACTTCCTGGTCCTTAAAAACACTTGTTAAAAAAAATTGAGGGTCTGGGGGTTTAGCTCAGTGGCACAAACACTTGCTTGGCAAGCACAAGATCATGAGTTTGATCCCTGGTACCAAACAAAATTTAAAAAAATATTGAGACAGACTATCACTAAACTGCTAATTTGCCCTGACCAGACTCAGACTTAGAAACCTCCTGCCTCAGCCTCCCAGAATGCTGGAACTATAGACCTGGGCCACAGCTGGCATTGTGTGTGCTTTCTTCAGGTTCTTTTTCTTTTTTCTTTTTTTCATCAGGCTCTTTTGTCTACAAAAACCAACCTCCTTTCCTCAGATCATCAGAACATTTATTTATTTATTGACACAGGGTCTCACTGTAGAGCCCAGGCTGGCTTCAAACTCACGGTGACCCTCCTGCCACAGCCTCTTGAGTGCTGGGAATACAGGCATATGCCATGCTACGTGGCCATTCATTCTATTTTATGGAGTGAAATGTTGGACTCATCTTTGGTTTAAGGAGCTGAAGGTCTAGTTCAGGGTTAGCGCTTGCTTAATGTGCCCAGGTTCATAGTTTCAATCCCCAGCACAACAATACAATTTTTAAAAAATTTATCAAAAGACCATTGAAGAATATTCCTCAACTAAGTTTAAGGGGCAGCCCTTAAACAATAAGCATAAGTGGTTGAGGGCTGGGGATTTAGCTCAGCGGCATAAACACTTGCCTTGCAAGCAGGCGGTCGTGAGTTCGATCCGATAAAAAGGAAAAAGAAAAAAAAATGCTAAAAAAAAATAAGCATAAGTGGCTCTTGGGTGTACATCTGTAAGGATCCAAATGCATGGGTTCAAGCTAGCCTGATCCACATATAGAGATCCTGCCCCCCCAAAAGCACGAAATCACTAAATGTGCTCCCCCCTCCATCTAACCCACTGCTTCCCTCAGGCTAGAGAAGCAGCTCTCTATCCCTGGTCTATGGCCTGTATATATTTTTATTGAAACATTCCCCCATATTACTTCTTCATAGTACTTAGGCGTGCGCCACCATGCCCGGCTGATACGGTATCTAGATGTGCACTTCTGTGCCAGTCTTCACACAGGACAGAGTTCGAGCAAAAGTAAGAAGAATGATCCTTTGACAGCTCCAGCCACCCTTGGCAGGTTTAGCCCCGCCTTTCCTCCTACCAACCAATGAGAGGCGCTCCTCGGCAGCCACTCACCAGGGCGGTGGGCGGCGCCACGCAATGACGCCTGCAGCGAGTCCCACGAAGGGTGGGCAGTATTTCCGGCCTGAGGAGCGCTGGCGTTTCTGGGGCGACGCCTCAGCTGGCAGATACCTCCAAGCAAGAAGCCAGCAGACCAGCTACCTCCATCTTCAGCGTCGCCATGGGTGCTGTGCTGGGCGTTTTCTCCCTCGCCAGCTGGGTGAGTTTGGAGTCCTGTGTCCTCGCCGGACCTGCGGTTCGGAGGAGGGCGATGGGGAGCCCCAAGTCCAGATTCGGGCGGGCCTACGCGCCAGAGGCCCTTGGACTAGCCGGGCTGTGCGTTTTGGAGGTCTCGGGGTTTCAGGCCCACCTGTGCCTGGTCCCGGGTCGGGGTCCTTGGCCTCTGTGTTAGAGAGGAGAGGTAGGTGATCCAACTGCCATTGTTTACAACTCGGATCGTCCCGCTCCCGAGAGCCTTCCGGACTCCTGGTGTCTCTAGAGCTAGATTAAGGCCAAAGAATGAGAGCTCCCGCAGCGGAAACTTTTCGTTTCGCTTTGAAAAATTTTTAAAGTGGCGCCATTTGGAACCGAGCTGGTGGCACAGTGGGGAGGCTGAGGCAGGAGGATCACTGCGAGTTCGAGGCCAACCTAGACTATATGTGAGTTCAAGGCTACCCTGAACTATATAATGCCACCCTGCTTCAAAAAACCAAACACAAAACCGTGGCACATTTAATTTTCTTTGCCTTGAGTAGTATTTTTATTACAGATGAGATTTGCCAAAGTTATGGAGTGGGGTTTTATCATGCAAAATCAGAAGCCATGACGACATTGTGGAACATACACAAGTTATTTATCTGTGAGGATAAGCACTTTAGCATTCCTCCCCATCTAGAGCTGTTTGAGGGTAAACTGAGTGAATGAGTCGAATCACTTTGTAAATGGTGATTCCCAGTTTTAAAAGGACATTTATGAAAGAGAATATGCTAAATTCCCTCTTATATCTTCGTCGAGCGTTACTAGAGTTTTGAGGCAAAAGTCCTGTCTCTGGTGTTCCCAACAGACCAGGCTTGCCCTGCCTTTGACAGCAGTTAAGGAGATTAGTAGTGGTGGCAGGCAAGAAAGGAACTTTAGTCAGCGTGGCCATGCTGGGAAGCACAGGTAACTTTATAGTGGCTCAAAGTCTGTCTTCCAGGGACTGACAGAAGCCTTGGGGTTTTCTAGAAAGGGTAAAAAGGTGGGGGGTTTGCATAGCCGTCCTGGTCTAGATGTGGTCTGCTTGGTGGGTTTCTCAGGAATGGTTCTGTGAGGCTTTGAGAGCGTTTAGCTCTTGGGGTAGTGAAATACTTGCTCCAGCTTTGGGGCAGCTTCAGTTCCTGTCTTGAAGTCATTGCATGTGATTGGTGGAATGGTGGCTTTATGGACTGGCCCATAAGGCTCTGCTTTTCTGAGGTGGCTGCAGGTTTGGGACCGTGACTGGAGAATTCCAGACATTGTTCCATTGGATCTGGAATTGGACCTTATAAGAACTGGCGATTGGAGGGCCAGGGATATAGCTGAGCGGTACAGTGCCTGCTTGGCAAGTGCAGAGGTCTGGGTTTGATTCCTGGTACCACAAAAGCAAAAAAACAAAACAAAATCCTGGTGAGTGTCCCCCAAACCCTGGAAATTAGTTACTTTTATCTTGGTGTCCTCAGTCTTGAATGAGAAGGCAAGGTAAATGTAAGAATTGATCCATTTTGTGATACACTCTTTAAGTGATATAAAGCTGGGTTTTAGAAAGAAGGTCAAGCCTCCCATTAGAAATCTTCCCCAACCTTAGGCGGCTCACACCCACCTCCTTAGGAATGCGGTCTTGTGTTTTTCTTTAGAGATAAGGGAAGTGGCCCAGAGCTGTCCGTCTCACAGCTCCTCTCACAGGAAGGCAGTGTCCCTGCTAGAGCTGATAAAACTGACAACTACAGGCTGTAAAACTTGTTTACAGCCTCCTAATATCTTGGGAACCTAAGACTTTGTTTCTCTTCAAAGCTAAGGAGGTGACACTGAGAATTACTGTCTTTGTCTTGCTTTGTAACTTTTGCCTGTTTGCAGTCACAAATGTGCAAAAGAAAGTTCCTCTCTTTGTCCAGTGCTCAGTGTTGGAACTTGAGTTCTCTGAGCCAATATATTCCTTATCCAATAAAGTTCTCCTTTCATCCGTGGTCTCTCCAGTCTCTTGGACTCCCCAGAATAATTAACATGAATTCATGTAGAGCTGATCTGACCCAAAGTTTTTTTTTTTCCTGTCTTTTTCCTTTTTATCGGTACCGGGGATCGAACTCATGACTGTCTGCTTGCAAGGCAGGCAATTACGCCGCTGAGCTAAATCCCCAGCCCCTGACCCAAAGTTTTGAGGTAAGAACAGAGACATAAAGTCAAGACAAAGATGCATGCTTATCCTCTCTTGTAATCACCCATTGCAGCATCTGCAGGCCCAGCTTTCAGGTCCCTGTTAAATAAGCAGTATGGTTACTTGAAATCATTTCCCCATTCCCCACCCGATATACTTGACCAAGGATTCAGCCTTAGCACATTCTAAATATCATTTCTTAGGGACACTATGTATTTTTTCATCCTCGGATGTTGTTGATTTTAGAAAGGAGGTTTATTGAGTAGTGATTTTCCAGTTTTTCTGATCTTGCCCTAAACAAATAACATTTTACCTAGTTGGCCTAATGTACACAGAGCTTTCTGAAATAACTCATAGGTTTACCATCTACTTCAAATAAAAACAAAATAACCCAAGCATAGTGGTGCAGTCTCAGCATTCTGGAAGGCTGAGGCAGGAGGATAGCAAGTTTGAGCCCAGTCTGGGCAGTTTATCAATTTAGTAGAACCCTGTTTCAAAAATAAATATTAAGGAAAAAGGGCTGGGAGTATAGCTTGGCATGAAGGCCCTACGCTCCATCCCTCAAACCGCACATACATACATACACACTATTGTAATCAGTTGATTTTTACAATCTACTGGTAGATCCACCCTGCTTACAAAATAAATTTTAAAAAATATAGCCAGGCATGTTGATGAACACTTGTAATCCAGTGCTCAGAAAACTGAGGCAGGATGATTCCCACAAATCAAGGACAGCCTGGACTACATAAGAAGTCATTAGTTAAGGACTAAATTGATATCTTGAAACAGATACATCTTTCCTATCTTGATAACTTGAAGTAAAGTTTTGGCTTTGATTTGAGGTTGAGGTTTGAATTGATATCATTCAAGCATTTATATCTATAAGTAATTTTTTTATTAATAATTTGTTTAGTAGGAACAGCAAGGAGTTCAGTATACCAGAGAGTGCAGTGAATGTGAAAAATGATAGGAAAGGAAACAAGACAAACAATAGGGGTCTAGGAGAGTGGTTGAATGATAGATAGCATGCTTACTTAGCTTGTGGGGGTCCTGGGTTTGAAACGCACCATTGTATTACAAAAAGCAGGGACAGAAATAAGCAGATACTCAATATGTCGTCTTACAGGTGGTGTATGTGCGTGCATGCGTGTGTGCGTGTGCATGTCTACCAGGGGTCTAGCACATGCAAAGGATACACTTGTACCACTGAACTACATTCCCAGCACTGCAGGCTTTTTTTTTGGATAGAACTCAGGACCACACGTTTGCAAGGCAAGCCCCAGCCCTATGGTTTTTAAGGAATTTGGCTTTTACTTTTTTTAGTACCAGAAATCAAACTCAGGATCTTGTGCTTGTGAAGCTGGCTCTGAGCTATATGCCTGGCCCCAGCTTTTGTTTTTAAGTAATGTGGGATGTCATTAGGGTTTGAAAAATGATGGGCTTTTGTTTTTTGGTGGGACTGGAGATTGACCCTAGGGCCTTTGTACTGAGCTGCATCCCCAGTCCATTTATTGATTGATTAGTTGATTGGTTGTCTTTTCGAGATAGGGTTTCACTATGCAGTTCCGGCTGGCCTTGTGCTCACTTTGTAGCCACAGCTGGCCTCAAACTCTCAGTGATCTTCCTGCTCAGGCTCAGAGTGCAGCTTACAGGTGTATGCCACCATGTCTGGCTTTTATTTATTTATTTATTGTCTTTTTGAGACAGCATCTCATGGTGCAGTTCAGGATGGCTTTGAGCTCATTTTGTGGCCCAGGCTGGTCTTGAATTTGCAACAGTCCTCCTGCCTCAGCCTCTTGAGTACTGGAATTATAGGTGTGTGCTACCATAGATGATTTTTATTTTTATGTTGAGACAGAATCTAAGTTTCTAAATTGCCCAGACTGGGGCTCAAATTTGTGATCCTCCTGCCTCAGCCTCCTGAGTGCTGGGATTACAGCCATGGGCCACCACACCAGCCCTGGTCTGTGTTTTGGCAGGATTGGTTCTGGTTGCTGTGTGGGGAATAGAAGAATAGGAGGAAAGTAAGATAGGAAAGGAAATACTTCCTCTCTCTTTGGTGTTGGAGTCTTGGGAGTTAAACTGACCAGAGACAAATTAATAAGAGAAAAAAAAATGTGTATTTATTTTTAAAATAGTTTTCATAAAAGAGTTTATGCATGCAAGATGCATAGAGCAGTGCTTGGTGATGAGTAACGCAGGGGTGGCAGGAATTTTTGGCTCACATCCCTGATTTTAGTAGGGCAAAGAAGGGGAAGAGAAATCTGTTTCTATGGGAAGAAAATTATATACTATATATATAATGGAGATAGGGTCTTGCTGTGTTTGAGGCTGGCCACGAACTCCTCCTGATCTCCTTCCTCAGTCTCCTGAAAAACAAACATGTATTTTTAAGGGAGCACAAACGGTATTTTAGGAGAATGAATGGTATCGGGTTCTGTCCTAGATCCCTGATCTCCCAAACGAGTGTACAATGGAGGTTAAATAAAAAGAGACAAATTGTATGATTTTTAGGGCTCCAGGTGGGTCAAAACCCTTTAAGCTTGAGACTTTGAGGGTAAAGACAAAAGCTTCTCTGGATCAGTCCACTTATATTAGGACTAAGGACAAAGGGCAGAGAAACTGAGGAAAGTGTAAGCAAAGAGCCAGGACCTTGGGAGTCACTTCAAGGACATCTCCAAGTCATGAATCAAGTCAATTTAGTAGCACTGTCTTATGAAGACAGGGTAGAAGTGAGACTGTAGGAGTAATCTTTGCAGCTGCAGTCTCTACCTTCTTAGGGGAGCTGTGGCCTTATCTTGCCTTTTGAGGTATCTCTGGCCTCACAG